TTACTTTACTTGCTTATAATTGAGTTGAGTTTTCTGTTATTCATACATATTTATGTGGTTAGAGGTCTCTGATGCTATTATTGACCTTGTAAGTTCACACATGATTCACTACCTAACATCGAGGTCAAGTGAGGTTTTCTAATGTTCATTGAGTTATGATTTTGAATAATTGTTAGAAACATGGTTTTCGTTGGTTTTTATTATTAATAATAGTAGGATAATTATTGTTAGGGTTTAGTAATAATCGTGTAGTATTAGGTTATTTGTCATATTTATTCCAGTCTTTTCATATAAATATGTATTTGAGCTTTCATTCACAATTAAGCAAAGATTTGTAAAAAGAAATTGTCTCCCAAACCCTATTCTATCATCTCCTTAATTCTCTCTAGAGGCCTCGACCATTCACTTTTGTTCTCCCCCAATTTTGTTCATCAATCCTTAATCCCCAATTCTTCTATATTCTCGATCCCTACCCTAAATTATCTTCCTAATCTATTCCTTTCTACATGAACTATCTTTAGTTCTTTCAATACTATTTGCTTGGTCACAAGAAAAATTCAAGTGTGGAGTGTTTCTGATAATGTTCAAATTATAGTGTTAATCACTTCCTATATTTAATTCATTTCTCCTTCTATCAATGCATCTTTAGTACTTTTTTATATTCTATATCAATGAGTTCATTTAAGACCTTGATCATGCTTTAATATCATTTTTTTTTTGTCATTTAGGAATTGTTTCATTATTTTCAAGGTAAAATGTAAATCTTGGATGATTCGGATCACCTATTGGATCAAGATGGAGGACCAAAAAGGTAATTACCAGAAGATCAAGGTGAATTTCGTTCATCATACGAACTCCAATTTACTCCTGATTCCACAAGTCTGCATATGAATCCAAGAGGAGCCCATTGAAGAAGATATAATCAAAACAGAGGAAGCAGGTTGCGGCGGGTCTGACCATGACTCGCCTCTACTGTCACACTAGAAAATGGCCAAGTGTAACCACCTACTAAAGCGTAGTATAGCGGGTTTGGGTTTTAATTTCAACCCGGGTCCTAAGTGTGCTGACTACTCCGTGAATTCTTATTATTTAGCAATGAAAATTTAGTGAAGGTCCAAGTAAACAAACAAGCAAAGCAGTAAAAGGTTGTTTTCAAGTTAAGAGAGGTCATCCGGATATGGTTCCCCCTAGACTGCAGTTAAGCCAGATTGTAATCTACCAAGTTCGAATTCAAAGATAGTTATACTGCGGGAGGTTCTTAAACAGTCTGCAGTCTCGACTAAAGGTCTGCAGACCCTCTCAATCTGAGTCCGCAGCGGGCGACTAACCTCTACCGGAGTAAACAGATTGAGGCCCTAACGAACCAAATATCCTCTACCAAAGTAAATCCGGTACAGAATAGTGAATTGACTCCTCGACTAAAGTTGTCAATTCACTACCTTCAATCAAGGGTGCCATGGAATCTTATGGAAGCTTCTTACTTTGTCCCCAAGGCAAAGAATCCAAGTTCAAGTTGTAAAAGGATGCTTGGGGTTGCATCTTACGAGGAAAAAGACTAAAAAATCCCTCTTTCATTTTCTATAAATAGAGGATTAGACTAGAGCTTTAGGTAAGCCTAACAAGCTTCACAATTACCCTACGCGCAATCTCAGAAGGCTCAAAGTTCATATACTCGAATAGTTAACCCAGTTAGCATCCATGAGGGCTAAGGAGTTATCCCAGAGTTCTACAGAGGCTACACGTAGAGCATCGTCAGAATGGAGATGCCTTCATCATCCATGGTGGTGTCATCTACCTTCTTTATGGTCGGGTAAGTCTTGCATTGTTTAGTGATGTGAATTCTATGATGATTTGTGATTACTTTCAATGATTTAATGAGATGCTTTAGTTATCCAATGCTTTTATCATCTATTGTATGTTATCTTGACTGTGATCATAATATCATTATACGTTGCATAGGAAATCTTCCTCTATGGTACGCTTTAATCTTATAATGGTATGAATGGAATGTGCAACCTTTCATTTATATATGCGATAGATTTTTTATGCATTAGCTCACCAAATACTAGAACCAATGTTATGGCTCATAAAGGCAGTAAATAGCAACATGATATCCTTGCTTCTTTGGATCATTGATTATTTAGTGGCATGAAGCGCGACAAAATGCATTAACTAGTTGTAGTTCCTCTCGCACGTCACGAAATCTTGATTATAAATGTTTTAGTTGAAGGGATATGACACGTAATAAGAAGAGATCCTAGATGCATATCATTAATAAGTTAGTGTGCATGATCAATATTAGGAAACCTCAACTCATCAAATTTACTTTTCATTGCATTCCGATCTCAAATATTATTGAAAGAGTGGTAGAATATGATCCTGAGCATATATAGGACTATTACTTTTACTTTGCAATATACTAAAATTGCATTAGTCATACGTAATACTTGAAATAGAAATGACATTTTTCATAATTGGAGTACTTCTATGGAATTAGCCCTCCACCAAAGTCGAAGATAATAAAAATGGGTTAATTGCAAGGTTGGTGACTAGGATTACTAAAAACGTTAATGTTTGGTCAATAAAAATATTAAATTCCATTCATGGTCACTAAAATTAGTTAAATATTTCACGATTGGTCACTCTTCTCCCAATTTTGTTAACTTTTGCTTATGTGGTGGTCAACTATAATAGTTGACAGTTAAATATGTGACAAGAAAATTAAAAAATAATAAAAAATAATTGTTTATAATATCCACCTAATTGCTATTTAATATAATTAAAAATCAATTTTTTGTTTTCTATCTTTCCCTCTGACCTTTCTTCATTAATCACCGCTCATTGCCCGTCTCTGTCACCGTTGACGATACCGCATTCGTTCCCACCAGAGTCAGCGCGAACCATTCCTGTTTTCGGGTGCGTTTCAGCTTCAGCATCTCGTACAGTTTTTTAGATGTCCTTCATCGGCCTCAACATCTCCGCCGAACCTCCTTCGTCTCTCTCGAAGATCCCCGATTGCTCCATCCTATACTCCTGCGACTCACAGTACCCGATTCGCGGGCGCTGTTCTTCCAACTTCCAAAGCAATATCCAAAGTAGTCCAGACGAAATGGGTAAAAAGCAGGCGGATTGCTCCGCTGCTGCCTATCACTCAAACCTATCATTCAAGCCCAACTTCCCAAAGCAAACACAATCCCTTCTTCACGACATCATGTGATCCTTCAGCCCCAAGTGGCCGGCTACTCGCCAACGTTTTGAACGCCGAGAAATCGCACATCGGGAAGTGGATGTGAACGTCGACCCGACCCGGACGTAGTATTGATCCGCTCCTTGCTATAAGAACTAAGAAATGAGGTGGAAATTTTCAAAAAATTTATTTTATTTAATTAATTAATTTTTAATTTCCATGTCACATATTTAACAGTTAAACTATAGAGTTGACCACCACATTAACAAAAATTAACAGAATTGGACGAAGAAGACCTAACATGAAATATTTAACTAATTTTAATAATCATCAATGAAATTAAATATATTTAACTAATTTTAATAATTATCAATGAAATTAAATATATTTAACTAATTTTAATAATCATCAATGAAATTAAATATTTTTAGTGACCAAATAGGAACGTTTTTAGTAATTTATCCTTAACAAAAATTGGGACAAAATGTGTGAATATGAACGATCGAGAACGAGACACAACTGGAGTGCGGATCTGGTGACTAAGGGGGGGTGCTTAGTCACTTGACTAAGTCCCTCCTAGCCATTAGATCTGGACACTTCAATCCAATGGTTAAAAAGTGGGAAGGGCTATTTAATTAATAGCAGGGGTAGTTTGGGTATTATGAAAAATTACGAAGTATACAAACCGGATTTACAATCAGTACAAACCATACAAACATACGAACAGTACAAACTAGAGCGACAAAACATACAAACATTACAAACGTATGAACTGTACAAACAATACAAACTAGACTGACAAACAATACAAACCATACAAACATACGAACAGTACAAACTAGAGCGACAAAACATACAAACATTACAAACGTATGAACTGTACAAACAATACAAACTAGACCGACAAACAATACAAACCATACAAAAAGAAAAAAACACCCGGGTTGACTTTGGAGGCTCCATCCCTATATAGAGGGGCTCCTTCCCAAAGTCAACCCGGGTGTTTTTTAGACATACAAACAGTACGAACATGGTGGACAAAAATGACAAACTAGACCGACAATCCATACGAACGGGAAAAAACACCCGGGTTGACTTTGGAGGCTCCATCCCTATATAGAGGGGCTCCTTCCCAAAGTCAACCCGGGTGTTTTTTAGACATAAAAAACATTACGAACATGGTGCACAAAAATGACAAAGTTTACAAACATAGTGCACAAAAATAACAAAGTTTACAAACATTACAAAAAACCCACAAACATTACAAAATAACAAAGCATACAAACATTACAAAATATGTCAACAAACATCACAAAATCAGCACTGTCGCCGGAAAATTCTTCTCCGGCGACGATGTTCGCCGGAAAAATTTTCCGATCAGAACATTTTCCGGCCAAAAAATTCTCTCTCTCTCTCTCTCTCTCTCTCTCTCTCGGCCTTGAGCATGGAAAACTGGGAGGGGGAAATTAAAAATGGCGGCAACTCTCTCTCTGTGGACCTTGATCATGGAAATTTGGGAGGGGAAAATTCCCCATAAAAATGGCCACCTGTGGACGAGAATGGGACGCCGGATTGCTGGCCGGCGGGAATTGATGGGACACGAAACGGTGACGAAAATCCCAGCCGAAGAGACGCGCCAGATATTGAGGATTTTTTAATTAATTAATAATTAAAAATTAAAAAGTCTACAATTACTATATTGTCCTTCATTAAATTGGATTAATAGGAGCCCTTGAATTTTAATGAGATTGTATGGCTAAGATTCACTTAGTCATGTGACTAAGGGACCCCCTTAGTCACCTGATCCCAGCCCACACAACTGCCATATAATAAAGTGCGGACTCCCACTTTCCACCTCCTCCATTTTCAGCTCCGACGAGAGAAATACAAAATCAATGGGTTGCTGTGGCGGCGACGATGACGACCCACTTCCCACCCTTACCCAACACCTCAACTCCTCCTCTGCCGCCGAAACCACCTCCGCCGGAACAGGCGCCAATTGCTCCACAATTTCCCCGATGAATTCCAACTTCTCCGCCCTCTCCTGCCGCGACACCCTCCGCCTCATCCTGGAGAGGCTCTCCGTGGCGGACCTCGCCAGAGCCAGCTGCGTTTCCCGGGCATGGAACGCGGTGGCCTCCGATGACGAGATTACGAGGCGGGCTTTCATGGCTCCCTGGAAATTGAAGGAGGTCGTCGGGAAGCCTGGCTCCGGCGGGTTCTGGAGGGACAACGGGATCGGGAAATTCGCCGTCTCGCACAAGATTGTCAGAGGGGATTCCGTTGCTAGCCTCGCTGTCAAGTATTCCGTTCAGGTGTTCTTTAATTTGCCTTTCCCCCCCAATTGTGTTTGATCGTGAATTGAGCAGATTGTACAGGGAAACAAACAAATTTTGAATTGAAATTAGAACTCAATTTCTAATTTGGCTTGGATTCCTTTGATAGCTAGCTAATAATACTTTCTTTTGGTTGCTAGAACTCAGTTTACTCTGTTTTGGATTTCTTTCGCTGAGATTGTGATTTAAGAGGGTTGGAATCAGGTTTAGCAGTTAGGCTCTTGGCACTGACTCACTTATAGCTACCTGAAATTCGTGAAAGTTTCAATCTTGATTATTAATTTAGTTAAGACTGGAGCTGCAATTCTTGAAGGAGAGCACCCATTTCTGCAAAGAAATTGTGCACTGTTCAGCTATCTCTTGTTCATTTAGTTACAGAAAGGAAGTTTTAGGCCTGTCAAGTGAGATTGTCGTTAATTAGATGGGAGGGAACCTGCCATGCTGAGATCAATTTGTAGGTTGTAGCTCAAACAGAATGTTGGATTGAGGCTAAATGAGTCAGTATGGATGATCGATCTAATTAGGAATGATTCAAGTGCCAACTTCTGAATTTCTTCTCTGGTTGGTGAAGGGGCATCTGCTGCCTAACTCTCTAGACATTGATTGATTTTTAACCAAATGGTCAATGGCTTTACTGGGTAGTAAGGAGTGTTGTTGTGTACTTTAAAGAGTAACCTATTTGTCCATCAACTCTACTTCCATACTCTTTGGAAATGGCCGATCACCAAATTGTCAACTGGCTTATAGATGTGTAGGAGGGAGTCATGTGTACTTTTGGAGCAGCAACTACTCGTGCTTCAAGTCTACTTTCGTTTCTCACCAATACTTCTTGCTGATTTATGACTGCAAATTTCCAATATGATACTCTTACTGTGTAGCATGTTTCCTCTTTTTGTAGTTAAGATATCCAATGCTATTGAAAGTACAAATCTTTCTCTTTTCCTCTGCAGGTAATGGACATAAAAAGGCTGAACAACATGATGAGTGACCATGGGATATACTCGCGTGACAGGTTGCTAATCCCAGTTAGTGATCCGGTCCTTTTGATTGATTCCACCTGCTATATAGAGTTGGACTCCTCTGCCAAAAGGGAAGTGGCGGTAATCTACCTTACCGGCGAGCCTGACAGGGAGCTCAATCGGCGGTTATCAGACAATGTGACTTCAGAGAGAGGGCGTAAAAGGGTCCTTGATTCTTTGAGGAGAAGCATGCAAGTCGATGATGGGACGGCTCTCTACTACCTGACTATCTCAGATGGGGATCCTCGTGCTGCGCTCTCCGAGTTCTCAGCAGATGTCAGGTGGGAAAGACAGGTTGGATTGGCCTAATAGCTCAAATCTCTGGGTTGTGTTTCATTCCCTGTGATTGTATGTATGTGTAATGTACTGTCAAAAAAAGTATGTAGATGTAATGTGTAGTTGTTATGGCTGGGATGCTGAAAAATGTTACTGTGGTTTGTGTAATTAAGCAAGCTGTGTGAGTTGTTTGTATCAATGATATTCAATTACATAATTGGAAAAAAAGTTGTATGGTACATCAATTTCTTCATTTCTGCGGGAACGATTTTGGATTGTTGCGTACTTTGAGTTGGTTTGTTCAGATCCTACAAAGTTCTGGCCTTACAATTTCTCGCCCTTATCGTAGTAGTGCAGATGCAATACAATCTAGGGAAGAAAGAAAATTAGGGCTTTTTTTAAAAAAAATTAAAGAAATGGCTATTGACATTGCCACAATCAGGCTAAGCCCACTCTCACCCATCGCTCATCATATTCACTAGTTTTGTTCCCACATGATTGGGCGGCGAGTGAGTGTCATGTGTTTGTACTTTTCCTTTTTTTAATGGTATCAGATTCCAAATTTTCATATTTATTTATTATTGTTACCTATTATCACTGACTTATCTGATATGAGGGCCGCTACATTTAGTCTATATTTTAATTATGATCAACAATAAAGTCAAACAACGTTGTACCTTCATCACCGCTTGGAAAATATTATTCCTGACCATCGGATCTTTGATTGACCAACAATTGTCAACTTCATAAGTTGTACATGGTTTAACCTCGTGTACGCCACCTTACCGTACTCCTATAGAGTTGGTATTTAGACCATGTATTAACGGAGTTTGGCACATGATGCTATACCATATTCTCTAATATGTGAAACACAGTCTTTAATTCTCTAATCCAAATCGTACGATTCATTTAATGAAAAATAATAACCACCGATTCTTATTTGTCAAAATATATTAACATACAACTAATAGGTATGAATGAAGGTGCATATTACACCTCGAGTTTACGCTAGCCTTTTCCACCATTATATCAAAGTACAACCAAATTATTCTGCTATGCTTCTTACCTTCAACATTGTACGAATGATATCAAAGCAAATGTTAGTTATTGAGACACTTTGTCTTCACTTCACATTATCATCCAATATTAAATATGTGACTGACTGTAACTGAAATTGCGTGATAACTTAATACAAACATAAAGGCGCTCTGTTGTGCAGTCAGTATAATAACTGAATTTATAGGACATCGTCATGATCTGACCCTGCGTTGGTTTTATAGGAAACCGGTCCGGGTACATCCCACCCTGATATACATGACATCGGTTAGGGTATGCATGACATCTACTATACTAGCCGAGGAATGTATGACTTGGCAAATTAAGATGTAAAATGCAATGAACCTAACCATGCATGTGATTGAATCTTTGTATAAATATTACTTATGATGTGGTTAAGTGATGACTTTCTATGATGTGATATATGAAATGTGCATGTCGATGATTATGGTTTTCTATGGTGTTTTATACAATGATTTCAGATTGGATGATATGATGTTTTGCTATGTTGGGACATGGGTTACATGGTAATGCCAGTATGATGTGATATTTGATGCATACAGGTTTAAACATTGAGTTATCAAGAGAGTGGGTGATGTATGAATTCTTTGAGTTTGAGATGATGAATGTGATATGGCATGTGGTGATGAATGGATGTTTATTTGACTGAATAAGATATAGCATATCAGATGTATCTTGACAGTTAAGTTAAGCCAGTAAGGCCTGAGAGTGGGTGACGGAAAACTGAATACTCCATTCTGCCATGGTAAATGGGAGGGACAATAAGTCATTTTGAACTATACTCTTAAAGATAACAGGGAAGATATAGATCATTATCTTATGAGTAAGGTTGTCCGGCGAGTATAACTGGCTACTAAAAATAGTAATAGTAATATATGTATTAGGGTGTCATATTAAGTAAGGATTAAAATAGTTATTTACATATCAACAATCATATATCCAATAGCTTAAGATTCATTTACATTTCTTGCTTAACTTAGGTGTTAATCATCTGAATATGACTCAAAGTTGCACATCTACACTCATGCATGAAAAAGAAAGGAATTTATGTCAAACAATAAAAAGAGAAAAGAAAGGAATTATAATTATATTAGGAAAAAAGTAAAGACAAAGTGTTTTATAATTGTACATGGAAGAATATTTAATGACGTATGGAAAATGAAAAGAGAAAGAAGTCGGAATAATATAAAAGAAAAGATAATGATATCATTTTAATATGTGAGAAATTTCAAATTTAATCCTAAAAATGACAAATGCATTATGTATATGTACATGAATTTTTTTTTAACTTCTTTCACCAATTGGTCACAAACATATTTAAATCATATAACCATAATTCGATTTTAAAAAATATACAAAAAAAAAATTTAGTGACCATTGGTGTCTAGTGATATTCTTAAACACATGAAATTTTGTGTATATATCACTGTAGCATATGAATGAACTATGTCGATATATTTTATATATTTATAGTGAGTATTATCTAACAAATTGTAACATATCTACATTGGTTCACATATTTATAGTAGTTCGTACAAACAAAATGTTAAATTTTTCGTGTTCTAGAATGCGGAAGAAGATTATTCTTTACTTTTCATTTTTCAATTTTAAAAGAAAATCACATGTCAAATTATGTAAAAGTTTATAATTGTGTACCAACTAAATTTATGCTTTTCGAATTTTTTTAATTATTTTAAGAAATTATAAACAATTATGAAACATATTATAAACTAAAAAAAATTTATTTGTAGATGTTAATGATTTTCTTATCAATGCTAAAAAAATAGAATATAAAATTTTAACCATGATAGCTATTCTATTGGTTAAAAAATAGTTGTGATTAATTGCATGAAAGATATTTTATTCTATTGGTTAAAAAATGGAAATGATTACAGTTTGAGCTTGTAGGTTGCATGATTAAATCTTAGTTATGGTGATTGATATACATGTTTTGTTGTGGTCAATAGCATCAAATATACTTTATCCTGGTGGTTGAACATTTGAAATGATGATAGTTTGATCTCGTAGGTCACAGGTTCAAATCTTGGTAATGATGATTGATATCCATGTTGATTTAGTTTTATTTTAATGTAACTAATAATTTAAAATGTTAAAAATGATAAAATGACATGGAAGATTGTGGAGATTTCGTTGTCCTACGTGGCAAAAACTTGCTCCACAACGACCATAATATAAGTAAGATAACTGAAAAAGCATTAGAATTAGGAATCCGAGAAAAATGATTAGTGTAATTTCATTATAGGGCTTGTTTGCTTGACGGATTTGATAATGGATCTGAATTCATGATGGACTTTGTCCAATATCCATTCAAGTATTTAGAGGTAACAAATTCGTGGGGACCATGGACTTTGAGGGTCCAAATCCGTAGGGCCCACGGACTTGAAAATCTCACCTCTTTAGGTGGGAATTGATCATGGACTTTGAAGTCCTTCATTTTTTAAAAAATCTACCCCTCATATTTTCTTTCTCTTCATATATCATTGAGGGCAATAAAGATAAGTTACACTTCATACATGCAAATTTAATTAACAAAATTCAAACAAACAATGGTGTTTATCAAATCCATAATACACCCAAAACCCTCATATATATCCATGGTTTTTCAAAACCCAAATTATAAAAAAACCTTCATTTTTCAAATCCACGAAGCAAATGACCGCATATTACTTGATAGAATATCACTATATAGAGCTTGAGGCAAAACACCATCAAAAATTTTCACGAGCCTACCATTTTCTCTCATCCTTTTCAAACGC